CCCCCCAACTATTGGTTCAGGAGTGGAGGAAAGTTTTTCCCTTCCTGGTTTTAGTACAAATATAGAATGGAAATCCTTTCTTGATCCTTCTCCCATTTAAAATGATCCTTTTATTCGAGAGCTTCCTTCTCAACCTTGGTGATCTATTCTACGTGCTCACCTCTTAGGCTTAAGATAGTAATTTCCTTCTCAATGGGATTTTCCCATCCGATATTTTCCTTTTAAGTGGAGTTTGCATTTCAATCGGCTGGGTGGCTTTGAATATTCTTATTTATCTAGGAAAATCATTATATCCTCCGTTCTATTTTATGTGGCACTCTTTCCTTTTTAGTCTTTTTGAAAACCTTTCTATATTAGAAACAATTCAATTTTGAACTTCCATTATACCCTTACTGACATGATTTTACAGGCGCAGTTTAAGATCACAAGTTTTAGAAGTCTTTCTATCTTCTTAAACTTCGTGTCCGGTCTAATACATTCACGTGAAATGAAACAGGAGGAGTGCCATATACTGGCACCAAATTTGCAGAATTGTGTCTTACAACCTAATGGGAAATTACTAAGAGGGGCGAAAGGGGAAAGCACTGTGGCATAGTTTTGTGGTCTGAGTATGCTAAATCGATTCTAATCTGTAGCAATTTGTAAATTGTATTGCAAATAATCAAGTTCTTATTGCATACGAAACTTGCTGCCATTTTTCTGTTAAAGGGGCTCTTTTAGGGAGAATAGCAGCTCTTGCTGGTGTTCACATATTTTTTAGTGTTGGTCGCTGCTGCACTTGCTTCAACTAGGAATTTGTACTTTATTTCTCTACAAAAAAAGTACATTCAGCATTTTATCTTATTGCTTGTCGAATTACTTACATATGATGTATGCTAAGAATGATCTAATACAACACATTGCAGGCGTTCAAGGTCACAGTCATGCCCCTTCTGCCGTGATAGCCTTAAAAGGGTAAACTCCGGGGACCTGTGGGTATACATGGATAACAAAGACGTCGTGGACATGACAACGATAACAAGGGAGAACCTTAGAAGGCTATTCATGTATATAGAGAAGTTACCCTTGATCGTGCCGGATAACGTATTTGACCACTATGACACTCATATAAGGTAGAGGAGCAATGCCCTAAAGACCAAGAAATTGGTTGCACTAGATTTAGAAATGCAGGTGGACTACTTTCCACTTTCTGAATTAGTAGAACCCGACCGCATCGGTGTGGTGCAGGGGTTGAAGCTAAGTTAGATTAGCCTGAAAAAAAGGAGCTTTTTAATTGCATCTCCTAATTTGTACATTCTTGTACAGGTTCCAGTTTACTTCTTGGAAGCACAGTACCCTTTTGTTGTTTGTTTCTAATCTTCAGCATTTGTTGTGGTTGCATTCGAAATATATGATATAGGATGTATTTAATTGCCAATTTATAACATTTCCTTTTCTTGCAAGCATTTTGAAGGATATAGCTGTTACGTTTAACCCAAGGACAAGAGATGGTTCAGAAAATTTGAAAATATTTTGGTGTTTCAAATACTGTAGAAAAAGTTTGCAAAGGTATCTTTTGTTTTTTTACGTCCCCATTCGAGAACCAAACTTCACACATTGTTTCTTCGGCACAAAGAATTTATTGACCATTTGTCTAACTATGAAGGTCGAATTATATATTTCGTTGAAAATAAAAACACAGACCAAGAAAATCTTACACACACCTCATGCTTACACCAATTTAATAAATTGCATAGCATGTCTTTAAATACATTGTTTATCGTTTAATCAGTGGATGATTAATATATATATTGTAGGAGTAATATGTATTTATCATTGATAATAATAACATAACTTAGTGTATCAATGCACATAACTTAGTGTATCATTGATAATAATGTTTATTTTATAGCATTTATCTCTAATTAATTAATACTTATTCCTACTTTAATTTTATCTATTATGATAAATCGACACAGTTAAAATGTAAATATTGAAACTGAGATTAATTTTTCCCTTTAAAGTGGAAATCCTAGTGAAAGACAGGCCACGTGCATGAAAAATAGAATGAGTTTGGGATTTTATTCAATGGAGCTTCTTTTGTATCCATGTTTGTGTTTCACATTGCGTTTTCAAGATTTTCTTGCATGTTAAGAATTAAGATTGTGGGTTTGAGCTGTTTTCTTGAATTAAGCATTATATTCGAGGTTACATGCAGTATTTTTAGGTATTGACAGTTTAGTATTAGGAATATTTTTGGAGTCCTTTTACCTTTTATTCGCAACTATCTGCATCTTGAATATAATGGGTGGTATTCTCAAGCTATAAACTTTTCTGTAAAGGTAATTCATTATTGTTCTCTTTTCATTTTGTCCCCCTTTTTCCTGAAAATGAACAATGAAGTTGCCTTTCTTAGATTAGGTATCTTGTACTTATGCCCTTATTTGGAGTTCTAATTTGTGAAAATCCAGCAGGATTCATGATTAAGTCAAAATTGGATAGTTTTTTCTAATTTCCGTTCCCTTAGTTTTGTGGAGTTATTATCATAGTTTTATGAATGGATTAGTTGGTTAGGAGTTGTTTGTTTTTGCTAGATGTAACTGATGGTGAAGGAATTGACCCTTTATGTATAAGCAGGCTAGACTTCCCATGTATTCAGTTTGAAAATAGTTTGACAGGGGATATAGAGATTGACAATAATATTAAATCAGAAAATAGTAAATATGGTATGTGCCTATTTGCAGTTGAGATTTGATCTGCCTGTTGAACATATAATGTCTTTATTACAATGGTGCGACAAGAGCCCCTTTTACAAAGTGCAAATTCCTGATATATACATAAGGTTCTCCGATGACATATGTTTTATTGTAGTTGAGCGACAGCTTAACTGATAGAGACAAGAGTAAACCTCCCGTTGACCATACTTTTATTATCTTCTCCTCTTATTTAAGCAAAGCAAAGCAGTCCCAATGTTTCCTTTGTAAACAACGAACATATAATGTTACAGAAATTAATGGATATTTGTTTGATGAGTCTTGGAGGAATCAGTCACAGAAAAACCTGTAGGCGCTGCAGGTCAATTTCAAATAGACCCAATAACAAGTGATTGAAATTGTTGAAGTGTTTGATGGAGCTCAAAATTTTAGGGGGAATCTCTTCTTATCAAATAGCTACAGTAATTAAACTGTGCAAAATTCTATTTGGACAGCAGTATTAACAAGAATCTGAGTTTCTTCCGTTGTAGTGATTAACTATGCATGAGAGCAGCTATGAAATCCTCATGATCATATGATTTTTCCAACTAGTTTATTATCAACATATCGAGTTAATCTTTTAATCACTGTATGAACTTTTTGCAATGAAGATATGAGGGGTTGTTTTGGTCAGCTTTGGACTGCCACCTTCCTCCACGATGCAAGTTGGCTGAAAATATTGATAGTTGCCTACTTTTTTGGCTCTTTCCTCAACCACAATCTCTTGCTCGCCATTCATGAACTCAGTCACAACCTCGATTTCTCCACTCCAGTCTATAACCGATGGCTTGGCATTTTTGCCAACCTTCCCATTGGCGTTCCCATGTCTGTTACCCTCCAAAAGTATCACCTTGAGCATCATCTCTACCAAATGTAGATGGATTTGACATGGACATTCCGAGCCTTGCTGAAGCGCATGCTGTCAAAAACGTCGTCACAAAATCTATATGGGTTGTCCTCCAGCTCTTCTTTTAGCTCTCAGACCTCTCTTTGTCAAACCTAAACCACCCGGTATGTGGGAGTTCATCAATCTGATTATCCAGCTATGCCTTCATGGAGCCATGGTTTACTTTTGGGGCAAGAAATCCTTTGCATACCTGATCCTGTCTACTTTTGTTGGGGAAGGGATGCACCCGATGGCTGGTCACTTCATTTCCGAGCATTATGTCTTCAAGTCTGACCAGGAGACGTACTCCAATTATGGTCCCCTTAATCTTATGATGTGGAGTGTTGGATACCACAACGAGCACCATGATTTCCCGAGGATTCCTGGAAGCAAGCTCTACAAGGTGAAGGAGATCGCACCAGAATACTATGACAACTTGATGGCGTACAATTCTTGGAGCCAGGTCATCTACATGTATGTAATGGATCGTGCTGTAGGGCCTTTTAGCAGGATGAAGAGGAAGTTGTCTACAAAGACAAATGAGAAAGCTGAATAGATGGTGCTCTGCTGGTAATCTTTTCCTTTTCCTTTCTTTCCAGTCTTTGCAAGGGATATTTCCTAAGATCTTGTCTATTCTTTGATTCACCTTTTGTAATACTCTTATAGCAATTTGGTGTCAGATGTCATAGGTTCCATTCATGTATCAATGTCCAGCTCCATCTTTGATCATTTCTGTAACATCATTTGGAGTTCTCCCTGTAGCCATTTTTGGTCCTTCAGAATTCTTTGTAAACTTAAAGGAAAGTAAAATTTATATTTTAGCGTATAATATTGCCTCCTATTTACCAAATATATGAATAAAGTTGCAAAAGATAGGACTATACGCTGATAGTTTAGAGAATTTTTACACATCCTGTCACCTTTACTTGTTGTAGGCTTGTAGCAAGTAACCTACTTCATTTTCAAGAATACAGATTCCTATTTTTATGGAGTTTTACCTGTAGATATCTTTGACTGACTTAATAGTGTAAAGATTTACACTGCCGGTGTATTTAAGCTAACCTCTTCTTGAAACTATTACAACAACAACATACCCAGTGGAATCTCACAAGTGGGATCTAGGGAGGATAATGTGTACACAGACGACCTTACCCCTACGTTAGAGAGGTAGAGAGACTGTTTCCGGTAGACCCTGAGTTCTACCGAAAAATATTACATCAAAAGTTAATAAGATGTTAGCAAATTTTATTTCTGAAATGGCCAGACGACCCCTTACCGTTATAGATTTCAAGTACAAGGGATGTTAAACCCCACATTTGTGCAAATACCAAAGCTTGTTTGAGTAAAAGCAATGAGATTTTTCAATATCATCCTGAGATAGCGAGAGTTATCACTGAAAGATGTCATTCATTTGATGACAAATAAAAAAGTTTATAAAATATTCCAACAAGTCTTTTTGAATTAGAAGAGCAAGAAGTGGAACTAGAAGAAAACTTTCTTTGACATCAAGGATTAACAATTTATTTCTACCTCGCGTTTCCCCCATTATTTTAGTAGTTCATATTAATCTATCAGTGGAGATGGTTAGCTCTTTCATTTTCTTTGTTTCCTTTCTCTTTGTTCAATATTCAATATTTATAATTTATAGAGAATGAAAACAAATATTCAAATATTTGTATTGGCAATAGCGTATTCGACAAATATAATTCATTGTGATAATTCATTGTGATACTGAAAACATCAAAATGGTACTATTAAATATACATTGTGGTCTTATCTATTTCTATAAAATTCATTCTTAAGAAATTGGAGAAGCTACATAGCATAACCAATATTCCTAGCTAAACTGCCTAGGCAGGTTATATCTTAGTCCCAATCTCCAAATTTCAAGTTCAATATTTGAGTTGTGCTACTAAGTGTTGCCTCAGCAACCTTCCTCCCATAAAGGAAAGCTTCATTCACTTCAGCTTCTGCAAAAACTGGAAAACTTCAATAACTTAAATGCTAAAAAAAGTTTCAAGAGTTTCCATTTTTAGTATGGATCTAACCTTTTCTCTTCCAAAACTCAAACACTCTTGTAGACTGGTTCACCAATAACATATGGTGGATACACTGTAGCTGGTGGCAGTTCTGGTGGGCGCAGAAGTGGAGACCATGTTTCTGAATATTCACCTTCATTCTCATTACTATACTCCTTAACTTTCCCAATAATTCTTAGCATTATAGCAAATAGCATAGAACACCCCTGCTTATCAAAAAATTTTGATCAAGAACCACATAACATAACGGACGCAAAAAATACTGAAATTTCTTCAAGGGGTCTTTTCTTACCTGTGCTAGAACACTAAACAGGGCAATCCATCGGAAGAAATCCTTATTCGATATCACAAACTCCTTGAACTCATCAAACCTTCCTGATGGATCTTCTGGTAAATCCTGATTAGGTAAAAAAAAAAACATAATCAGAACATTGGAGAGAAGCAACGAGGTTCTTTTGTCGATGCCTTGGTCAATAGAATACAGAAAGCTAACTTGAATAACAACATGATAAAGATTTCTTAGATGCATACCTTCTCCCACTCATCATTCAACAAAACATCAGCTGCCATTACACCCTCTGATAGAAGCAGCACAAATATGATGAACATATACTATAATTATTGTTAAGGTCCGTTCTTTTGATCTCTTCCTATGCAGCTTCTTTCCTACAAGCATATATGAGAACTATAAAGAAGAAGGATACAGAAGAGAGGCAATAGTAGTTGCCAGAGTGTGCAGCAACATGGCCAAGGCAAGTGATAGCACACAAAGCAGTGCCAATACCAAGAAATGCATGGATGTACCTGTCATGATTTCAGCAGTATTAGCATTTCTTTTATGCCAAGACTGTATTATTGGCAAGGAGTTAAAATTAGGGGCAGAGCTACATGGTCTAAAGGGAGTTCAATTTAATCCTTTTCACCGAAAGATATACTGTGCAAATAGTTGAATCCCCTTGATATAAGTGAAGTATCTAGCGGTGTAGAGGCAAAGGTGGTTCAAAAATTAGTTTAGGTCGCAGGTTTGAATCTCAGGTGTGACATTTTTACATTCCTTTGAATTTCCTTGTGAGAATTTCAGAACAAACTAGGTTGTGAAAGTAATACCACTAAGTTGAGAACTCACCATGGGAAATGATCGTAATCAGGGGATGAATGTGAGTCCGCAGCATCACGCTGCCAAACTCTAATCATCCATATACCATAAAAAAGCATTGTAGTACCCAGACATCCTATAGTTAAATTTGTGAACTTGAGGGACCATTGCAGGCAAACTTTCATAGGTCTTACCATCTTGTACTTTAAGGAGTAACTCTTCACTCTCTTGACTGGGAAATTAGAAGAGCACTAGCTCTTAAGTTTGAAATGATAACTTTGAGGAATGCATGACAGAGCATATTTGTTACATTTATAACTGTTTGGAGTCTTGATTTGTAAGAAATTAGGATATGCAAGAATTTCCCAGGTAGATAGGAAGGAAATTTCCAAGAAAGAGCTTATTCTTTGTACTTTTGTTGAGGGACCTACTCAATTATCAGTTGCTTGCTTTTTTTGTATAACCTGAAAATTGGTTGCCAAATATGTGGACAGATAACAACTGTCTATTTCGATAATTATGTTATTGCCAAATGATTCTAAGTAGATATAGTGTTTGGCGACTGCAATTAGTTAGCTCAGGCCGTGAAATATGATGTGATGATATAAATGGAAAAGATACAGAATGCCTTCATCGTAGCCCAAGCCACTGATATGTTTTGTCTGACAGATTGAAAAGGTTCTTTTAGGTTACCTTTCCTTTCTTTTTCTTTATTTAGCTGTGTGAATTCTCTTAAGAAATTTCCTCCTCTCGCTACCAAAGAAGAAGAAAAAAGAATATTAATTGGTAGAATTGGGTTTTACTTCATAACTACCGCTACGATGGAACCACTGACAGAGTCTAGAATATCTAAGCATCTGATGCTTAGAAGAAATAATAGCATCATGAAGTCGTAGTATTGTTATTTATATCTATAACTCTATCCAAAAGCTAATATATTTGTCACTGGAAACATTTCACTGCCAACATTAAAGAGCATATACAAGGGAAAGATTATCTGTAATATCATGTAGCATTTTTGTTTTCCTTTGATCAAAGATATTTCTAATCTAGGTTGACCAACAATCATTCGACAGCACTTTTCTTCAATAATGTTTAAACCCCAAATTTTTAATAAGAAAGAAGGCAGCTGAAGCGCAATAAAAAGATACACCCGCAGCAAAATTCATCTACAGCACGGCAACCAGTTAAAACATATTAGCAGTAACACCCCTCATCAATCTTCCTTGCCGTACAAAATGAAGGCCATCAAAAAATAATGAGCTATTGCTTTTGACGACGAAGGATTTCCTTCATCTCTGTCAAAATATCAGCCTTCACTATGATGCGCATTTGCTTAGAGTCCTCCCACAGTAATCCTCCATATTCCCTGGCAAAATCACATGCAGCCTCAAACACATCCTACAGTTATGTAAACAAAAACAATCATGTCATATAGCCATAAATATTAAAACCAATCAAAATTAAGTTTGTAATGCAAATAACAATTATCTTGGCACTCACTCTAGAAGGGAATTCATCGTAGAGGTGGGCGGGCATCATCTCAACCCGATTCAGATCTGATTCCCACAATCTAATCTGGCATGAGAAAGTAGTAGTTGAATTAGTTGACTTGAAAAGAACTTGTTTTCCTAATAATCCTTTCATCAGTATTTGTCAATGAAGACATATACTGTTGAATTGGTTTAACAGCTTCTGGTTGGCCACAATGATGGGAATGTGATACTACTCAAGAATATATTCTACCAATGAATCAGTCTAAATAATAAATGGGGTCCAATCAGTAATCATCTATCAAATAACCAAAATGTATTTTTTATTACTAGAGCTTTACTGTCATTCAATTTCAATGCGCTATGAAATAGTAAGAGAAACCTGATCAGTAACATTCTCTGGCACGGATGGTATCCTCTCTGCAACCCTAGGATGGGCATTCTGCTGAAGGAAAGAAATTATCTGCAAAGCACCACAGCAGTCAAATACTTCAAGTGAAAAAATTGTATTGCAACTGCTCAATTATAACCACGTCCAGATAGAATACCTTATAATTCTACTTGAAACATTTGGCAAATCATCGTGACTTATTGTTCCCCTTTTTTTTTGAGGGGATAAACCAGTCAACATGACATTTAACCTAATACATTTGATAGCTATGGATAAGGATAATTGGAACTTGAATACACATTACGATCAACACAAGCAAAGGTTTCTACTTTTCATATTAAGAGCCCGTTTGGACCTAAGAAATTTTTTCCTTTTTTAAAAAAAAATTCACTTTTTTTCAAAATCAGTGTTTGTTCATAAAATTTCCAATTTTCACTTGAAGATGCATTTTGGAAATTTTCAAAAATTTGAAAAACTCCAAAAAGCTGTTTTTCAAAATTTTCACTCAAATCACTCACAAAACTTCAAAAACAACCCAAAATTATATTCATGTCAAAATGCAACTCTAAATTTCCAATACCGTTTTCACTTGAAAAAAAATTTCACCTTGTTTTGGAATTTTACAATTCTTATGTCCAAACGCCAACTTAACCTTTTCAATTATACAGAATTAAAAATCCAGAAGTCAGTAAGAATATAGCACCAGAAGCACAATACTTCCTGTAATTCACATGCTTTCAAGCATGTACTAGTTAAGAAAGGTGCACCAATGTAAATAACATTAGACCAGATAAGTACATTGAGGGACCAGACACAAAACTATAAGAGAAACATTCTTCAGAGGTCTGCCATTAAACAACTACCAACATCGACCAGCTAATCAAGATTTTTTTTTCTTTAGCAATAGCAGCTGATAAAGAATTAATAAGAATCTCTGACAAACATGTCCCGCACTATCAACCTCCTTCACCTTTTGCTTTATATAAAATATGGCACTCCAAATACAGTTCACTTTCTCAGATATTTTTTAATTAGTCGACTCCAAAATAAGACAATGCTTGTCAATAAACAAAATAGCAGCTGAAACTTGCCTGCTCAGCAGTAATGCCATTTTGAAAAGCTTTATACAAACTTTCTTTCGTAATAGCACCGACAATGAGATTTGGAAGCTGGTACTCCACCCTGTATTTGCAGCTAAATTTTGTTACTCAAGAGAGTTCAAACACAAAAGTGAAAGAAGAGAGATCTACTGCTAGAAAATCAGCACTCAACAGCCAAAAAGAGTATTAGGCGTAGCACATAGATTTAAAAATTCAAAAGAGTAATGCATTTCTTGACGAGCACCAATCCACCACATAAAGGTCGTGATGGTATTCTTACCAATTCCAACAAAATGAAACAACAGATGCTAATACTTTCAAGAGATAAGAGAGTTGGCGCTTATTGCCCTTATGTTCTTTTTTTCCCAACCAAAGGACAGAAACAAACACATGCAATGGAAGAAAGTAACCGCGTACCTTGCAAAGAGGCGTAGGATCTCACAGTGTAATTTTGATGTTGAATATGCATACAACCTGAAGTTTGTTTCAATAACGATAAATCCCTGATGAAAGGGGGAAGGAAGGAAATCAATAGATGTGTTTCCAGCCAGTAAGGTATCATTGAACTCATCCCACCATTACTAAAACGAATTCGAGAACTTAAATCTGGATGACAGGAAGCACAAAATTCTAAATTTCTGATTCAGAATTTGCCGTTTTAAGAAAATTGTAATGCTAAAGATGGAAAACAAATAAATAAAAATGGACTGCTATGTAGCTTGACCCAACCACTCTAGAGAATGCTTATATGTGCATCATACCTGTTTCCTGGATGTTGTATCTGCTAAGCTAATTGACAGATTGGTGGCAAGTTTGGTGGGAATAAACCAACTCTCTTTCCTTCCCTAAAAAACAACAAATAGATAAATAGGATTCCATGAACATCATGGAAAATAAAAGCTCCATTCATTCTGGAGAGACCATTGATGGGACAATTAGTAGTATTCACCTGCTGCAGCTTGACCAGTCCCAAATCTGAAAGGTCCTTAGTTATACTTCGCTGGATATCAGTTAATGTGTTTGTATTGTATGCCTATATAATTCAAAAAAATACAAAAATCAAGCATCCTCAGAAAAAAAGGATAAATAACAGCAGAACTTAGTGCTCCAGAACCAACTAAAATCCATACATTCATAATTAAAAGGATGGTGTCATTTACTACAGTTCTGGGGCAAAATTAGTCCAAAATGTGCTAGCTCTGTCTAGTAATACCTTGCCAGTAACATGAAAGCTTAGCTCCAACAGAAATGCAATAAGATCTGCTGAATCCACACCTCGCTCCTTCATTATTATGAGAAATACAGTGTAAATAATTAAGTAAAAGTCATAAGTCGTCATTTATAGAATTTGAGTAAAACACAACATCTATTCAACGTTATGGTCATAGGCACAGTATCTTTCCAACCAAGATCTTAAATAATAGAGCGAATACATTCCAGAATATTGGTCGCATTGACTAATTTATAGTTAAGAAATAAAGGAAACATTAGATAAAGGAAAGAGTGAATAAAAATATGAGATGAAGAGCAGTAAACTCAGAGGTGGAAGCTATGAGCTCAATTCAACTATGTTTCAATCCCAAACAAGTTTAGATTATATGAACCCCCTGTATGAATGTATCCATTCCGCATTATTCTTCAGTATTCAAATGATTCATCAAAGTTTGACTATTTTTACGTGGGATGTCAACCTCCCGCAACCCTCTTTCTTTATCTGAGCTTGGGACTAGCTATGCTTTGTGAAGCTTACATATGCGGAATAGGCAGCAAGAATGAGCAGCTCCCTAAATTGGCAGATAGAATAATCTGCTCTGAAATTAATTTTCCCACCTACCTCCTTATCTTCAATGTCTCTCAGAACACTTGTCAACGAAGTGAAGTATAAGCAACTATTAAATGTAATTGGGTTTCAAAAAATGATGCTGTTTTCCATGAAAGAGCTAACAAGAGAGAAGAAGAGAGAGAGAGAGAAAAGAAGTAAAATGAGTTCTATGAATAAAACATCAAGAATTATTACCTCAGCATTTGTTATGTACTCCCTGATGATGTACCAAAGCTGTGCATTTGTGTCCATCAGCTGTTACACACGATGCTCAATAGAACTTCAAATGAGATATTGATTGACTGAGATAATTTAGTGACTCGTACCAGGAACTGGAACCCACTTTCAGTCAACCTTGGAGGTTCCCTCTCATCTCTGCTTAAGAAGGCATGAACTCATTGAGGTTATGTCAATTACTACAAAAATCATCCAATCATACGTGAACACAGCACTATACATATATGTGTGTGTTCAAAATTTATCAAAAATACTACACTTGAAAGTACCTCTGACTT